GGGGTGGGAGCCCGGCTCGAGTGGGAAGGCTCGAGTGCCTGGCTGGGGGCGGGGATGGGAACAGAAGAGGGTGGGGCATGGCAAGCAGAGAGCTTGCGTGCTGGCAGGGGACAGGGCTCGGTGCCTGGGAGGGGGACTCAAGCTTGGGGAGAAATGGAGGGCTAATGCTGCCAGCAGGGTATGGGGTGGTGGCCTGGGGGCTAAGGGAGTCCTCCAGTTCAGCTGTGCAGAGGCAGGGGAACAGGCCGCACCATGTCCCACACGTAGTTGGCCAGCCAGTAGATGACAGGGTTGCAGCCACTGACAAATTGCAGGTGCTTGGCCTTGGTGGACTTCTCAGCCACCAGGAAGACCACAAAGCTGGCCGGCACGAAAGACATAGCGACAATGATGAAGATAGCAATGACCACATCTGTGCCCTGCAGCCTGGGGAGGGGGACAGATGCCTGAGGCCTGCATGGCCGCAGCCTTGCCTGTGAAGCCCCGCCCTGCCCGGACTAGTGTCCCACATGAGGTGTGGCCTTGACTCCGCCCACACCTGCGCCATGTAGGGGGACCTGTGCTACGATGGGAGACCGTCGGGCACGCTGGGGGCTCATCAGGTGTGGGGCCTCCACAAACTCGGGCCTCTGGGTGCTGGGAAGAGGGGCAGGAGGCCAGGGGGGGCAGCACCCCGATTCATGACCACCATTCCCCAGACTGTGGCTGTCGCCGGATGCCAGCTCCCAGCTGCTGGTGAGCACCTTCCAGCTGCCATTGGGCATGGGCGCCACCTGCATGCTCAAGTCCCCTGCTAATGGCTCTCTGGGGCCCACGATGAACCTGAGCAGCGGAGAGTCCCGCGTGCTGGCCGCTCGCTTCTTCGACAGCATGTGCCTGGCGTCCTTCACACAAGGGCTGCCACTGTCCAACTTTGTGCCGCCCCCGCCCTTGCCCTCCCCTCTGACTCCCCCGTGTTCCTGATGAGCACGTACAGGTAATCCAGGGAGAGGCTAGCGCTGGTCTTGTTCATGGGGTGGTTAGTGACCGTGATGCCTGCAGCACAGGGGAGGGCAGCCTCAGGACCTGCTCCTGCGCCACTCCCCACTCCCCACCCTTGACCCCACCCCACCCCACCCCTCACCATAGGCCGCTGGATTGCCCTTGCTCTTGGGCAGGTTGGCACGCAGGATGGCGTTGTTGAGGCTGTTGAGGTAGGTGGGCATGCTATGGTAACCCTTGTTGTTGTAGAAAACCTGGAGGGAGAGAGGTAAGGGCACAGAGAGGCCCCGACAGCCACCCTGGGTCACTGCAGACCCAGGCAGGCTGGCCCCTCTGATCCCTGCGGCCCTTACCTGGGCCGCTCTGCGCACCGCGATCTTCCGCACCATGGGCGGGGCCCGGGCGCCAAACGAGGCCGGGATGGATTTCTGAACGTTGCCAAAGGTGATGGCTCCATACCTGGGCAGGCAGGTGGGGGTGGGGGGCAGTGAGGTCCTGCGGGCACTGGCCGGCCACCTCGCCTACAGCGACACCCCTCGCTCCCGCTCACCGGTGCAGCCGGAAGCGGTCGGAGGTGAAGAGCAGGTACTCGGAGACATTGTGGCCGGTGATGTCGGTCAGGATGTCGCCCGTGACAACTCGCATCTGGGGCGGGTGCCCGCCCACGCCGCTGGGGCAGGAAAAGCCGGTGCCCTGCGTGGAGCAGCTGCACCTGACAGGCTCCCGCACCAGGCGCGGCAGCGAAGGGGCAGAGGTCCACATCTCTGAGGAGACAGCCCGGGTCAGCC